TTGGGAGGCATAGATCAGGAGGGTCACAGTTTGAAGCCAGCCAACCAAGGCAAATAGTTCACAAGATTCTGGCTTGAAAAAAATCCTTCACATAAAAAGGCTGGTAGGGTGGCTCAAAGCCCTGAGTTTAAGACCCAGTACTTCAAAAAAAAAAAAAATGTAGAACATATGCACATATAGAGAGGAGGTTACACAATGCAGAACGGGAGCTTTCTATTTTTTGTGTGCTATGTACCACTTTTACACCTCATAAATCTTGTATCACAGAAACAGACAGATACAATTCATTCAAAAATTGGTCAGGTATTGACTATCACTGTAACAATTCTTCTGTCTCCATCAGTCTGAAGAGAGTACATAAGGTTAAAATGACATACAGTAAAAATCTGCCTTAAGGAGCAGCAGGTGTGGCTCAAGTGGTAGAAAGCCTGCCTAGCAAGCATGAAGCCCTGAGTTCAAACCCCAGTACCAAAAAAATCGCTTGAGGCTGTATCACACTGGAGATCATCAACACGGCATCTCAATAATTCCAACAGCGGAACAGTTCTGCTTCTTCAGCTGATGAGCATATAAAATAACTGACTTGTGATGTTAATAGTGATCCTAGCCACTCAGGAGGCAGACATCAGGAGGACCGCAGTTTGAAGCCAGCCCCAAGCAGATAGTTTATGAGACCCTATCTCGAAAAAACCCATCACAAAAAAGGGCTGGCTGAGTAGCTCAAGCAGCAAGAGCACCTGCCTAGCAAGCATGAAGCCCTGAGTTCAAACTCCAGTGCTACAAAAAAAAAAAAAAAAAAGTACCTGAAATGGCATCACCACATGCATCACACTGAGGCGGGGGCGCTCAGGAACTGAGCCTAAGGGAAGAGCAGGCTTCTGTTTCTCAGCTGGTTGGGTTCTTTCTCTCTTGTTTTTGTAACCCAATGCATAGAACTGAATTTGTGTAAAAGCATATAAGATGTGCAATGGTACCACAGAGTTTTTTAAAAACATAATTGAAACCTGTAACTCTAATTAAACAATTACAGTACAACAGAAAATCACAGCCCAAGCACAAATGACTCATTGGCTAACTTAAGAGTGAAGGGTCAATATCACAGGTGAGCTCAGGTTACGAGCATTCATATACTCCAGTGTGCAGATGCTCCAGTCTGTATCTGAGTCATGTTACAACTCTACTAAGAAGTAAAAGTCAGCTGAGCACTGGTGGCTCACACCTGTAACCCTAGCTATTCAGGAGGATCATGGTTCAAAGCCAGCCCCGGCAAATAGTTCATGAGACCCTATCTCGGAAAAAAACGATCACAAAAAAAGGGCTGGTGGAGTGGCTTAAGATGTTGGCCCTGATTTCAAGCCCAAGTACTGCAAAATAAATAAATAAATAAAATAAAAGAAGTAAAAGTCAGCTACCCCCAAAACTAAAAGCTCCCAAATGTTTCTAACCTTGCCCTGTCCGGATGCTTCTCTTCTTGACCCATTCACCCATTACACCCAAAGTGATTCATCCTTTCTCCTCCCCCAATCTCCACTTCCATTCTGCATCCTAGAGAAGAAAACAAACTGCCCATGCAGGGCCCAAAGTCAGAAATCAAAAATTCAAACCATCATTCTTTTCTTGACTACTAAAACCAGTCCCTAAGCTCTGTAGTCCCTACTGCTACATCGTCTTCAAAGCACGCGATCACTGTCATCCCCACTGTGAGTGCTCCTGTTCACTTGCATCATTGCTCACTAAGCCCTACTAAGCTCCCTGCCTTTAGAATCTTCATTTCATCTTGCACATACCTGGCAAAGCTAGCTTCCTTCATATGAATTTGGTTACATTACTCTTTCTGGTTCAAGCACAGAGGTACAATGAAAACAAGCTCCATTTAATAACATGAGAAAGGAGACTGTACAATCAAGTAAGTCTTCCGAATATGTTCCTACTCTCCAACATGCTGATGAGCAAGTTCAATAAGCGAATACATGTGTTTCAGGAGGAAGAGAACACAGGGAAGCAAGTAAACCCAACTGCCTTCTTAAGAGCCAAGAATGGACCTGAAGTAGACCAGTCCAGTGATGAAGGAACATCATGAAAATCAAGAGTGCATCCAAGCTGAATGTATTAGCCAGTCTAAATTGAAGGCCCTGAACCAGGCTTGATGGCTATACCTATGATCCCAGCACTTGAGTAGGTAGCTAAGGTGACAGGATGACAAGTCCCAGGCCAGCCAGGGCTTCATAGCAAGACACTGTCTCAAAGAACCTTTAAAAGAACAAAAAATATAGAAAACTTAAAAAAAAAAAGCCACTACCCAAATGACTTAATCATAAAAGGACTTGGGAAGCAGAGCAAACAGAAAAGATGAAGGAGAGGATTTGCCATCAAGAAAAACTACCCATCCATTCCTCCAGAAAGTGAATTAGGTTTTCTTTGTCCCATCCAGCCCATGTCTTACTTCCCTGACTGAAGTCCATGATATGAACTGGTAGGTAAAGTCTACCCAGTTAACGAGAACACTGTAGGCATTTGGCGTGAGACTGCAGGTCCCTCTGAATTAAACTAGCATGTAAATTAACATCTAGTAAGCAAATCTTCCTATCAGAAAAGAATATACTATCATACCAACAGACATACAACCACTGTAACTTCATAAACTGAATTCTGGTTTTATGCATCAGTTTTATAGGACTGGTTAATGTCACTCCAGCCCTACATCTGATTTCTGAGCGTGCTAAACCAAGGACCAGACCTAGGATGATGGCAAATTGGATATGTGGCTATACAAGTGGAAATTTAACTAAAAGTAAAGAATTCAGTTACTTAGTTCAGACCCAGATTTTAAAATACGCACATGTGTCGGGTATAGTGGTACACACCTCTAATCACGGCACTCTGGAAGCTGAGGTAGGAGGATGGTGAGTTCAAGATCAGCCTAGGCTACAGAGCAAGACACTGTCTCTAAAAACAAAACAAAAAAAATTAGCCACATGTGACTAGTGGCTACCATACTGAAGAGTATGCATATTAAACATTTTAATTACTGTAGAAAGTATTATCACACAGCACTATTTTTTACCTACAGTGAGTTCTCTTGGGAAACAATTCTGATAGGTGGGTGGCTAACATAGAATCTGAGAGCTAGAATGTTTTCTAAAGAAGGTAAGAAATGGATATTCAACAATTGTTCCCTTTTCCTTTGCAATGATCTGTTAAAGTCAGAAAATGATATACAATTTTAGTCTTCAGAATTTCTGTCCCCCTATTTATAACTGGATGGCGACACTCTACACATCAACAGAAGTGAGAGGCATGTTCTTTGGAGCCAGACTGCCTGGGTTCATGTCTCATCATGGTCTCTCATCAGCTCTCTTGTGAGCTTAAGCATGTTCCTTAACTACTCTATACTTTAGTTTCCTCATTTTTTGTTTTGTTTTATTTATTCATTCATTCATTTTTGCAGTACTGGGGATCAAACCCAGAGCCTCACGCATGCTAGGCAAACGCTCAACCACTGAGCTACATCCCAGCCCTTCAATTTCCTTCTCAGTTAAGTAGAACTGATGGCACCAACCTCACAGGTTACTACAAGGACAGTTTATAAAGTGCCTGGAGTTATGCTCTATCAGAGTCAGCGCCCAGTACTGCTAACTACTACTGTTTCTACCAGTACTAACCCTGCCACCTCCACCACTATCCCCACAGGGCCGTTCAGAAGGCATGGGAAAAGCTCACCTAATAGAAATATTTGCAAATAAAAAAAAAATTAAACTAAAACAAAAATCACAGAGTCAGAATGTTTAAAGATTACAGGATACAGGTAATCTGGAGAGAACATTAAACAAAAAAAAGTCATGTTTTCACACAGTTGCCTGACCACGTCTCACTTCTAAAGCTGATAAGCCACAGGTCAAAAGGAGTCACAACCAGGCTTGGTGGCACCCAAGAGGATCAAGATATCAAGGCCAGCCTGGGCTACATAATGAGTTTGAGGGCAGTCAGAGCTACATAGTAAGACCCTATCTCAAAAAAAACAAAACCAACAACAAAAAAGAAAAACTTGTACAATACTGAGCCAATGAACTATTTAACCAATAAGCACTAAGAAGAAGCTGAGAAGGTGCGGGTTTGAGCTGCCTAGACCAAATGTTGTCTCCCTATACCAAGCACATTTTGACATTTCAATGACCTGCCTCTCTTACACCTTAATCCAGCTTAGATCTTCTGACTTTTCAGTGAGAAAGCAGAGCATCAGATGATTAAATGCTGTTCCAAACAATGAGCCAGCATTGTTCAATTGAAAACGCACTACGGAAAATAACACTGAAAATCCAGAAGGTGAAGTATGAACTTCATAAATATATTAAGACAGAAAGTCCCAAAACTGGGGTCAAAGACCCAAGCTTAAGGCCAACCCTGCCTTTTACTAGCTTTCAGATCCTGGCTTGCACTGACCTACTTCTTAGCAATTTCACTTCACCACCTGTAGAATGCCCTGAAGCACGGGGCCAAATTAAAGAAATACATAAAGTACCCCATGCATCTGGCACTTAACTGGCATGTTCTCAGCACAGTTGCTTCTTCAGGAAACCTTCCTGAGACTCCAAAAGCCCTAAGAATAAAAGACCACTACTTTTCATGGTGTCTACAAAAATATGATGACTAGGTATTAACTATAAACAACGTAAGATAATTCCTCAAGGTAACTAACTGTTTTCCGTATCTTATACACTATTCCCCACTTAGAAAAAAACTTCCCTGTTGACTATATATTCTGTTAGGACTATGACTGAAGATATTTAGCCCTACAATTGCACTTCTTCTGTGGAAACAAAGTTGTACTAGTCGTCCTGCCAAATACACCTGCACTGATCCACATCCAAACATAACCATAAGACATTATCTGATATTTCTTCCTTTCTCAAGCAATGGAAAAAAAAGATGAAAAGACTTTTTAAGGTGTCTTTCAGCAAGGTGGATTCCACAAAACAAAACAATACAGGGTAATGGCTTACCTGGAAAATATTTTGTACTTCAGATTCACCAATCCAGAATGAATGGGGTTTTCCCTTTCAGACTAGTCTGAGAAAAGACAGCAGTCAAGCATCTTCCAAGATTCTTTCCGCTTACTGTATCCAGTTTTCTTCAACAAAATCCCAAACATGCACTTCGGTAACTGTTGAAAGACAGAAAGCAATCCATACACCCACCATGGCACCAGCGGCAGAGGACAGCCACCAAGAACTGGAAGGAAGGGTCAATGGATGGTGGATCTGAGGCACAGGAAAAGTTACAACCCAGTCATCTATTTGCATAAAAGGTCCTTGCCTCTGTTTCAGAGAAGGATTTGAAATTCTACGTGACAAACAGTAAAGCATCCCTGTTACATGTGTTCACGTAACAAACAGCATGTGATTTCCAAATGAGAGCAGCTAAAACCCACATAACTTGTTCCTGGCCATCCAACTACAATGAGTTTCCCTATCAGATTTCCAAGACAGCTCCTCCAGCATTATGAAAAGTTTGCAGGCAGAATGAGTGGCACTGAATGTTCAACCATGTCACGCTGCGTGTATTTAAGCACCTAACAAGCCTTCCGGTTTGCTGTACAGAGACATCACATGTACACATACGATCCAGATCCTCAACACTCAACTAGAACACAGAGCATTGTTCAAATGATGACGTACAGTATCGAACTTCTGACTGATTCTGAGTCAATAATGACCTACCCCTACAATGGCCAGTCATAAGTAAACTAGCAAAAATAATAACACTAGTGAACAATTTACTAGGTGACACCTCTAAACACTAAGCCCAGTCCATATTCTACCAACACTCTTTTCCTATCATACCGACTTTACCTTCAGACTATAAATCCTACACAAACTCTGAGGGAGAGAGAAAAGGCATCGACAGGATGACAGAGCAAAACTTGAAAGACTGAACTCACTTGCACATAAATCTACTTCAACTTCCACACTACTGCCGAGATACTCATGCAGTTATTAAAATAATACTTACCTTTATTGAAGGGTTATAATGGACCAGGCCCTTTACATTAATTACCCATATTTAATTCAAAGAAGAAAGAAGAACGGAAAGAACTAACTTGCCCAAAGTCCCATCTCTACCAGGTGGGAGAGCCCATGCCCTTTTCAGAGTCCTGCTGCCCCCAATCCCAAGGCTCACAAAGCCCACGGCTCCTGGGGTAGAAGAAACTAAGCTTTACTCTCAAAGGTCCAAAGCTCGTGAACATGAGAGCGTAGAACTACAAAAATACAGGGTAAACTTTCAGCCTAACCGGCCACCCTCCCATTGCCAAGAAGCAACTGACTCCTAGACAAATCTCCTTTAAATAGCACTTCTTTATCAAAAAGCCACACAATTCAAGACCTCTAATAGAGATGTTAAAATGAAAACAAAGCATATTCTAATGGTCCTTAAGCAATGCTTGTGGTTAGCAGCTAAGTCTACCAGCTGTGATAAAGGATCCCAATCCGCTTGAGCACAAGCAATATTCAAGGTCTACAGGCAGTGACTACAGACGTTTGGAATGGTAACACTTGGCACAGCCACTGAAGGACTGGAACACCGGTCTATGATTGAGTTTGTCACAACATCAGATGGAAGGAAGTATCTTGGGACTCACAACTTAAAAGAGAGCACATAAGTAAAACCCCAAGCAAAACAGAAGTGCTCGAGTTTTCCCCACAAAGTGACTTAAGACTAAACTCCAAACCCAACTTTGACAAAGGTATCCAGTGAGCTATGGATAGTAGCTAAACGCTAAAGCAACAGTTTCTAAGTATAACTTAAGGGCTGGCAGTATAGCTCAAGTGGTAGAGTACCTACCTAGCAAGCAGAAACCCCCCTCCCCAGCCCCGTTCAAACCCCAGTACCACTAAAAACAAAAAGCAATCCACCCTTCAAACTATAACTTCTTGTTACATCCAAAACACAGAACAAATTAAGTGGCAGCAAAACACAACCACAACAATTTTCACTAACCAACTCATTTCTGAACCTCTTGAATCCTCTGGCTTTTTCCCTAAACTACTGAGTTTATCTCCCTTCCCTTCAAAGGCCTAAAGGTAGCCAGCCTTATGTTGGACATACGAAGATTAACAGAAGACAAACAAAAGTGTCCTCTGCCCCTTTCTCTTTGTCACTCACAAGTGGGTGGCTATCTCAGAGAACCAAGACCGATTTTACTATCAGCTCTCAAAACTGGTTAAATGTTCTCAATCTAACTCTTCACACTTGAGCTTTGTTTTCCTGTAGACTCAGGCTTTCTATTAGAGAACGGTCTCCTAAATCCATTACACTTCTATTTACACACTTCTCAGCTCACAAGCAGGCTTTTCTTTTTCCTTTTTTCTCCCACTTTTCATGTTAATGCCCCACTGTTTCTACTTCACAGCTCTCTGTACTGTGAAGATCTTCACTGGTGACTAACAGTGAGGGGGAATTTCCCAAAAATACTTCCTGCTGACATCACAGAACCCCACAAACTGAGTCTTCTCAAGACAGTAAGACCAAGGTTAGAGACACCCTACTAGACTGTCACGTCTTCCTGGTCTCTTATTTGCCTACAAAGACAAACTTCCTGTTAGGCAATGGTGAGCCAGCAGAAACTTACCAGAGGGTAACAAGCTCATTCTTGACCAACAGGTTTTTCCCCCATTGTCAACTAATTCAATTAACAATCCAACTCAGAAGGAAACCTTGCTTATCCTGTTAAAGGTCAAAATCACTACCTTTGCTAAAATGAGACTAAGAACTCCAAATTCTAATTTTCCAGATAACCTAAACCAGTCACACATTAAATCAGAATGTGCAATGTTCATCTAAACTAGTCACCAATGTCTTTCTACTAGGATACTTGAGCCAGGGCTGAGGGGGTTCTCTCTGCAGCTAGAGAATGTAAAATGAGTTCTTAGTAATGGCAGAGAACCTCCCAGGCTTTCCAGGCTTGTGCTGACACTGCACATCTCTTCCCCTAAAGACAGCTCAGGAAATGTGTGACCTAAAAACTGAATGTTAGGTCTTGGTAAAACTTCACAAATGAACACACACACAACTCAATGGCAAAACTTAAAGCCTTTTCCACACCATCTGCTTTGACTTTTTGCCTTTAACATAGGGTCTCTGCACTTACGGGTACAACTAGTAAGGCCCGCACCTGCTGTGCAAAGCCCTTTCCCATACATCTCTCCATAATCCTCAAAACAATTCAGAGGACAGTCATGCCACAGAGAGGTTTCCTTCAAGGTCACGTAGCTAGCAAGTGGCAGCTGGGATAAAACTCAGGCATTTCACTCTAAAGCCCTTTCTGCAAGCAAAAGCATGCTTATTTTTTTAAGGTCAGAGCTTACCAATAGAAATAAAAAGAATGTGGTTTCCTCAATTGTTTGCTAATGCCCAGTCGAGACAGATGTAAATCAATCTGCATGCGTATTAATTCTGTACATGATAGTTAAAATATCTGTAGGTGTCCTGTGTGCCACATACCACCTTACACACACACACACACACACACACACACACATACACACACACCCTAACATTAATTCAAACCAATAAGCCTCTACTGAGTACCTACATGCTATGCTGTAAGGAGTAAAAGGATCTCAGACACACAGCCTCTGAAAGGAGTTTAGACACAACCACATTTCCATACTGTAAACCTCATAAGTTAAGGTTATGAGAACTGGTAACATAGATGAAACTTTCCAAAAGAGAAGACAGTTAAGACAAAGGCAGAAGGCAACAATGTATGAAAAAAATCATCAGAAAATCCAATTCAGCATTTGCTGAATATCTACTACAAAGATGCATTACAGTGGAGGAGCTGTGTGTCAGAGGAAGATGAGTAACGTCCCATCTCTTTCTTAACAGGGGACACAAACAAGTAATTGTAATATAAGTCCAGAATACAGTAAGTACTACAAGGTAAATTCAAAGTGTCAGAATTCACTAATTTCATTTAACAATGATTATCATGTAAGCAGCTCTACAGACCTAAAACAAAGTATCCGCCACCATAATATAAACTGACATAAAAAGAGGTGGCATCCATTGTTTTGAGGGACAACAGGACTTTATCAGCATTAAGCAGGAAAAGATTGCAGAGATGTGACCTAAGCCAATTTGGCTGGAGAGCCAAGTATGAAGTCCTTTCGGTAAATAGCAATAGCTTCCAATAAATGGACATAGGGCAGTTCACAGCAGAGTTGACAAAGGAAGCAGTGTGAGGAGCTGGAGGACCAAGGTCCTCCAAACTCAGCTGGAATAGAGAATAAGTGACGAAAGTGGAGGAGAAGCCAGAAGAGAGGTTGAAGGGACACTGCAGGTGGACTCACCGGGACTAGAAACAAGATGCAAATGTCACAAAGTGGATCCCAGAGTCCCAGGGCAGAGAAAGAAAACCTGGTTTCTAAAATCCATAGACCTGACCAGCACTACAAAAAGGGAGTATGTTATTCTGTGAGTCTATGCAGTGGCTAGTCATTTTCCTGGGCTTGTTCTCGATCTGCACAACAAAGACTATAGCAATCAGGGGTCAGGCACGCCTGAAACATGTTTATCCTTGTCAAATCTGAAAGAACATCTAGCCTATTCCAAAATCACAGGTAAAGAGTTACATATTTAAGCCATAGCCTCTTTAGGCAGGTCAACAGGCCTACAAATATGGCCTTCATTTCACTTGTACCATATTGAAACCTGAATCTATTTAATCACACCTGTAAGTTAGTACACCACTGGAGGTATATGAGGGTAAGTGACCTAATTTCTTGATGAAGTCACTAAACAAGCTCATTTTACTCACTTAAGTCAATGACAGAATCAAAATAAAAAAGGAGAAAATTTTCCAATAACCTCTTATCTGTTTATTTCATCCTCCTTGGTTTTGTGACCTGCCTGTACTTCCCTAGCTCTAAAAAACAGCATTTACAGCCAGGTGTGGTGATACATGACTATAGTCCCAGCACTCAGCAGGCTGAGGCAGACAGATGGAGAGTTTGAGGCCAACCTGAGCTACACAGTGAGACCTTGTCTCAAAAAACCAAAACAATAAAAATAAAAAGCATGTCTATTACACCTTCTTAAAAAGGTCATGTATTTTAATATTATTTCATCCAGTAAGTAATATAGCCACTTAAGAGAGAAGACAGAAAGGAGCTGACTCACTTAAAGTCACTTAGTAGAGGGGGATCTTTCAACAGCTAATAATAGACTACAAACTGTCTATGTGTGTAAAGGGGAAGTGACCTGCTCACAACCAAACAAGAGGCAGGATTGCTGTCCCTACAGTTCTCCCCGTCACTTTCCACTACCTTTTAACAAAAGGTCTTTCTCTTCCAATCAGCAGGTCTGCGAGTGCTTTCTAGTGATGAGTGACTGACAACTCATATTCCTCAGAGCCAGGCACTGGTGGCTCATGCCTGTAATTCTAGCTACTCAGAAGGCAGAGATCTTGGTTCAAAGCCAGGTCAGGACAATAGTTCTTGAGACCCTATCTTGAAAATATCCAACATAAAACAGGGTTGGTGGAGTGGATCAAGTGGTAGAGCACCTGACTAGTAAGAGTGAGGCACTGGATTCAAACTCCAGCACCACTACCACCCCCCAAAAATTAGACCAAGTACCTAATTAGACCTGTAATCCTAGCTACTTGTGAGGCTGAGATGGGGAGAATCAAGGTTTGAGGCCAGCCTGGGCAAATAGTTCGAGAGATCCCAACTTCAACATAACCAGAGTAAAATGGACTGGTAAAATGGAGGTGTAGCTTAAGAGGTAGAGAGCCTGCATTGCAAACTCTGAACCCCAATCCTACCAAAAAAAAAAAAAAAAGAGGAGTTGATTAGGAGGATCACAATTTCAGCCAAAAAGTTCTGAACAAATAAGCCAATGTGGTGGTGCATGCCTGTGATCCCAGCTATGCAAAAGGCACAGACAGGAGGATCTCTACCCAAGGCTGACTGGAACAAAAATGAGGGGCCCTATCTTAGAGCAAAAAAAAAACTAGGAGTGTGGCTCAAGTGGTAGGGTACCTGCCTGGCAAGTTTGAAGCATTCAAAACCCTGAGTAACACCAAAAAAAAAAGTTTTTTTAATTAAAAAGGGTGCCAGTAGCTCAGGCCTGTAATCCTAGCTACTCAGGAGGCAGAGATTAGGAGGACTGAGGTTCAAAGCCAACCTGGTCAAATAGTTTGAGAGACCCTATCTTGAAAAACCCATCACAAAAAAGGGCTGGTGGAGTGGCTCAAGGTGTAGGTACTGAGTTCAAACCTTCAAACCCCAGTGCCACCAAAAAAAAAAGTTAACAAATTATGTGGTACATAATGAGCAGACTACACTCCAGTGAAATCCACCAGACTGGACAGAGCCTGGTGAACTTGGTGTGTTTCCGAAATGGACCCCTACCTCATTCACAATAAAGCTGATGTTGCCAAAATCACAAGTTTAAAAAACAAACCCAAAAAGCAGGCCATGAAAAATCATGGGATGGTTCAATCGTTCACTATCAATGCCTATAGATTCAGTTGTCCTGATCAAGAACTTACAGTCCTTATTGAAAGTCTAAATCCTATGCACAAGGTCAAGGGGAGAAGCATCTTTACTGACCCAGTCTTGGTTAGAGATAAAAGAAGATGAGGGTGGGGGAATTCTACCACTATCTTTCTCCTCATACTCCCTCCCCTGCCCACACTGGGGATCAAATCCTGGGTCTCTGGAAAGCAAAGTGTGCATTCTACCACTGAGCTACATCTGGAGCCTAGCTTTATTTTCTCCTGAACTTATCAAAAGTGCAATAAACGGGCTAGGGTGTAGCTCCATGGTAGAGCATTTGCCTAGAATGAGAGACTCTGGTTTCAATCCTCAGCAGTGCAAAAGAAAAGAAAAAAAAGTCAAATCTCCTCATAAGTGCAAGGGGAAAAAAAAGAACCAAAATCAAAGTAGAGGGATGACAACTAGGAAACAGACAAGAAGCCAGTTTCCTCTTTTCAACACCATCAGTCTGGAATAGCACAGGAAAGTTATCTTGTTAACCATTAAGTACCAAACTGGTACAGGCAGCACAATCACAAATATTTGAGAACCAAAGCAACTCATAAAAATTAGAATATTTCGTATCTGGGCTTTCAAAATACCATCAGCTTAACCCTCCCCTCTTTCCATCATGTTATTTTGAAATCATTATTAAAAATATTTTAACCTAGTACCAGAAACCAATTTAAATGCAGTGAGTACAGAAAGTCACATGCAAATGGATTTTAAGGCATTATCATTTTGCATTTGATCCTGGATTTACTCAATCAGTAGTTAAGCATCGATGCTATCTACTGCACTAAAATAAACACATAGATGTTTATGAAAAGGATTACTGAACTGATCTGTCTTTCAAGGAATATCAACATCCTTAAATGAAAAGCCATTTTAAGGTACATAACTACCTAAACTCTTTTAAATCTTATAAGGATCCTACTTTAAATCCCAGTTTATAATGTCCTTAAATGGTTGAAATCTCTTTTCAGATGACAGACAAGTACTCAAATCAAAAGTTTTTGTGTTGGTGGTGGGGACAGAACTTGGAACTTCACACACACTATGCATGTGCTCTACCACTGATCTGTACCTGAGCCCTAAAGGTAATTATGAGACTAGAGCCAGTAGATGTAGGCCAGTAATTCTTTTTTAACTATAACTCAAAAGTAGTGACTTGAATTATCCCATTTTTCTTCTAATTCTTTTGAAAATAAAGACGTTTTAGTTATTTTTTAAATGATAGCATAGAAGGAGCACAGAACAGCCTATGTCCTAGGCTGTATCCAAGTTACAACTTTTGGATACAACATATTCCTACTGCTGTTAAGTACACAGGTTGTAAATCTTTAAGAATATGCACTATACGTCATTCCAAGTAAGACATTTTACAAAATAATCCACTGCAAGAGCTGCCCAAACTGTTGCGGTCAACAGTTTTGATAAATGATGCTGAAAAAAAAAAATTACTCAGTAAGTGAAGATCAAATAAAAACCACAAGTGACATTATGCCTTTGCACCACACATACACACACACCAGAAGTTACCAGAGGTTTTCTTTTTTTCCCCCTATTTTTCAAGAATGCTGAACAAGTCCAGTTCTGCAAATTATGCAAGGGACAGCAAATAAATATCTTCAAACTACCTCCATGTTTATGCTTCCATTTTTAAAACACGCACCATAACTCCCCAGATACCACCATCCACACAAACCATGCAGCTATCCAACAGACTTTCAGTGTCACCATTTATTATTTATAGCATTAAATGGGGGAAGTGGCTCTGATGTCACCATCCCTACCTACCCAGCGGAATCACTGACTCAAACCCTTTCACACCGGAGAAAATGTGGCTAGGAAAACATTTTGCTGGGTTAAGTGGATTCCTCGCCTTCCTTTCACCCGGGCACAGCTGTGAATGCTTTTTTTTTTTTTTTTTTTTTGTCAGCAGAGCTACAAAGAAGCTGTCAAGGCTTCCGCCGAGGAACCCGTGTGCAAGTCCGTTGTCCCGGCCGACCTCCCCCAGCTCTCCGGAGGCTGGTGGCTTCCCTGATGTTCAAATTGCCCTATTTGTCTCTCCCACCGAGTAATGCACAGCCAGCGAGTCCTCACCTCCACCAGCCCCTCGGGATCCTAGTCCTAGGGCGGGATGAGGATGGGGTGTGGGAGGCCGGGGAGACTGGCCTGACTACCAATGGTTTCTAGCAGAAGAGTGAGCGTCCCCGGAGACCGAGGACTCCCCCACTTTTTTTTTTTTTTTTTTGAGAAGAAAGAGCTGGTGGCGGAATGGGGGCCCTCTCCGTCCTCCTCATTTCCCACGGCAGCTTTGGGACATGGTGAACTTCGGCTCGCTTCCCGTTCGTGGGTGAGGCGGGGGGCCTGGCCCTGTTCGCCCACGTCCCTCCCTTTGTCCGAGCAGCCTGCCCGGGTCGGGGAGGAGGCCCTGCCGCCGGCCTCGGCCCGAGGTCCCCCACCGCACCCCAGCCGGGCCGGGCTCGGCGGCCGCAGGTCGGAACCCGATGCGGAACCGCCGCCATCGCGACGGGAGCGAACGGGGCAGGGCCTGGAGCGAGTCCTGGGGGCGGGGAGGGGGACCCTTGTAAAGGGGGGACGGGAAGTAGAGCGAGGGCCGCCGAGAGACGGACCAGGCCGGAGCCCCCGGCAGGCCCGCGATCTCGGGGCATCCGGAGGAACCGCGCGGGCCCCAGGTCAAGGGCGGCGGGGGGCCGGGCCTGGGCCGAGGCGGCTGGGCAAGGCCGCCGTGGTGGGCAGGCCCGCCCGGGGCCGGCGGGCGGAAGGAAGAGCGGACGGTCCAGCGGGCCGCACTCACCATGAGCTCGATGGTCTTGTCCTCAATCACCGAATCGGGCTCCATGGCGGCCCCGCCTCGCTCTCCCCGCGCAGCAGCGAACGGCCCGGGCGGAGGAGGCGCCGGCGGAGGCGGCAGAGGCGGCGATCGCACCCACTCTCGCTGCCAGCCCGCCCGGGCCGCCGGCAGCTCCGCCTCCCTCAGCTATCGCGGCGCGGCGCGGCGCAGGACTACTGTTCCCAGCGTCCGCCGCGGCCGCGAGGCGTTGTGGGAGCGGCAGGCCACCCGGGACCTCGCTCGCGGCGCCCCGCGGCTGGCTTCCGAGCGGCGAGAAGCGCTGCTCGGTCAGTCCGGAACCGCAGGTCGGGAGCACCCAGGGCTCGCTAGAGCTGGGCCTCGGAGCGTCGCGACTACGCGTCCCAGAAGGCCCTGCGCGCTCCGTTTCCGGCCGACCGCTGCGAACTTCCGGGCGGTGACCACGGCTGCATGGTCAGCGCAGGTCTGCAGGCTGGGCGGACTCGGACACGCTGGGGTTGCGTTGCCAGAGCGCTGCGACTACGCATCCCAGAAGGCCCTGCGCGCTCTCTAATTCCGGCCGGCCGCGGAGGACTTCCGGGCGGCGACCACGGCTGTACGGCGAGCGCGAGACCGCAGGCCGGGCGGACCCAGGACTCGCTGGGGTTACGCTTCGGGAGCGCTATGACTACGCATCCCAGAAGGCCCTGCGCATTCTCTGCTTCCGGCCTCTCGCAGCTGACTTCCGGACGGCGCCGGCCTCCGACACCGGGACGGAAAATTCCGAGCAACTCCTCGCTGCTCAGAGACGATGGTATGCGCCCGACTTCCGCACATGCGCGACGGGTGTCCGCAGCGCCCTGGACGTCCCGAGCCGCGCGGCGTACGGGGGAGGGCACGTGGGAGTGGGGCGCGGCGTGGGGGGTGGGGGGGGCGGGGAGAGGCGGTGAATGAGGCTCCAGAGACTGCGTGGGGAAACGCGAGCTGCACGCGCGTCTCTACGCCGGCTGTCCCACCGGCTGGGAGCAGCAAGTGGAGCCCTTGCCTTCATTATATGCTGGCTTGTAATCCCTAAACTCTGCTCCAAGCCCTGGGAGCCAATGACAGCTGGGGCCCTTGTCCTTAGGGAGCTTAGTTCTAATGGGGACAGCAGACATCAACCAAGAGTAACAGGTGCCTCCAGCTCTGCGTGACCGTCACCGGGTCTGTCCCAATCCCAGAAGCAGGCTGGGCTGCCCGGCTGGTGAGGGACAAGCGCACCGCTTCTAAAGTGCTTCGGTGATGCCTGAGCCGTGCCGGCAGGAGGACGGAGAACTACAGCTGGACATCTCAGTGAACGTCATCTGGCGGAAGGGGACACCACAGTGAGGCTAAGGCTGTCACTGGCAAAGGGCCGATAGCCCCTCCGATAGTCCTATGCGGTGTTCGCTCATTTTGGGGGAGCTTAGACAATGTTAGTGCTTTGTGCGTGTTCACACATAATTATGGAGCGCCCTTGTTTTCCTCCTGATCGGTGATGGTCACACAATGGCCGGATCTGATGGTGATGGTCTGTGAAGCTGCTGTGTAGTGACATCATGCATGTCCTGGCTGATTGACTACAGCAGGACCCTTCCCAATGTCACAGGCTGCTGTTCTCCGTGTTTCTGCATTCTCTGCCCCTGTAGAGCAAGGGGACCGCATGACCTAGAAATCTTTCCCTTTCAAGGACCAAGTTATTGCAGTAATTTGTATGCCCTCAGGATGAAGCAGAATAGATAGATATTAAAAGAGCCAGACTCAGACATTAAAACAAAGAAGGAAAAACTGAAAAACAGCTGCAAGTTACCCTCCCTTCACCTCGTTTTAGATGTTAGGTTGCAAGGATAGGAGCCTAGAGGGGCAGCTGCGTCTCCCTTCCCCTTTGAGATGTTAGTGCCCTTGAATGGGCAGAGTCTGAAAGAGGAAAGGCATGTCTAGCAAAAGAAGTCTCAAAACAGCTATGACCCTGTGTTTTTGGTTAGGCCTACATGATAGGATTATCATCTCCATATTTAAAATAATAAACAGTACTCAGCTTAGCCACTTAGAACTATAGTCTAGCCGGTATGGCCACATGTACCCCCCCAGCTCAGAAAGTGTAAAGGCCACAGATATGAACCACCATTTTGAGTCTGCACCCATCTCCTGAATGGGGAGTAGGAAATATTTCTCCCTTCCCCCCCACTTCCCCCTGCTTTATCCTGTTGTACTAAAATACTTCCACCTTCTGATACAGCTTGTAGTGAGACACCTTAAAATGCTTTTCACCGTGGCTCTCAAGGCCCTGTGATTTTGCATGGAAACTGGGAAGCTGAGGGAAGCCCCTCATCCCTCCCGTAACAAGGACACAGTGTAAGTTCCTTGCAGGTAGAGTTTGAAGTTTCATAGTCTTTATCTGGTAAGTTTTTAACCAAGAGAATTAAAAAAAAAAAACACTAGGAAGACAGAACCCAGAACTGGAAAGTTATTGCCATTAACTTGCTGTGTGAATTTCAGCAGCCCCTTATTCCCATCTGAACCTTTGGGACATTCAGTAGTAAAACAAGGTTAGGCTAGATGACCCTTGTTTCAGTCACCTATTGCAACATAACAGAACATCCCAAGATTTAGTAGCTTAGAATAACAATGGTTTATTATTTGTTTTAGCGAGAGTGCAAGGTTGAACAGGTTGCGCCAGGTGGTGTAAGATTGAGGGTTATCAGTAGTACACAAGGGGGGTCTAAAGAATCTGCTGGGAACATAGGATCACAAATGGTGAGTTCTGTTATCTCTGTGAGGGGCCTTCTTACGATGAGCTTGCTTTGGTCAACTAAGGTCTGTGTAGTGGCTTGAAAGAGGACATAACCCTGTTCAAGACTACACTGATACTAAAGCAAATCATGTCGACCGAGACCACAGTCACAGTGGTGAGAATGGCATCTGGCATGGATCACGTGAGTAGGAGAGCCGCGCGCAGTGAAACTAGGAGCCAGTGCCAAGCGAGCAGGCCTGGCACCAAGCTAAGCCGGTGGCTGGAGCGCAAACAGGAGGCACAGGGCGGCAGTGCACGAACGTGGGGGCGGACAGGAAGATCTGTATGTCGCATATCAGCCATCTTTCTATTTGTTCTAGTTGAAACAAGTTTTCAGCAGCTTGCTCGGTTGGAAAAAAATTCAGACATATGACCTGACTATTGGAGTCTATATGGCGGAAACACTAATAACATGGGGATAACTAGCAACCACCTTTATATGAAATAACACCTAGAGTTCTCGAGCGAGTGCCATCGACTCCTTAGGTCAGGTCCTGGTGAGTTAGTATGCCAGGGATGTGTTGACTAAAGGAAAGGTTTATTTTGTTAGGTTTCAGGGTGACTCTATGAAGTCACCAAGCCACCGCGGCGCACGGCTTTTTGTTTGCCATCTTGGGGTGCAGGGGCGTTTCTAGTGGTGGTCATGTATCAGAACATATTACAGGCATCGAGAGGGTATGTCTGCTAAAGGCTTCGATTATTCTAATCTCTCTGAAAAAGCGCTTCCTTAGCAAAGCCACTTCCTCAAAACCACTGATCCATAAGGGGTTTAATCCAGGAAGGCGGATCCCTCCTAACTGGGTTGACTCAGCCCTCACGAGGCTCACAGTGGAACAAGATTTTAAACATCTCGTAACAAGAGTTTTTGATGGAGGGTACAGAAAGTCAAAGCAGGGAGTCCGGTGCCTCTAGATCGATGTGCTCAGACTTTGAGGATTGGCAGACTCTGGACTAGGGGGAAACTTACAGAGCAGTGAAGAGGAATATAAGATGTTGACCTTCTGTTACTCGTGATATATTCTATCTCCTTAAAAGAAAAGTAGTGCGAAGTATAGGAGTGCAAATCACAGAACCAGAGTTGGTCTGATCGAGAAACGAATATGTCTATGACAGAAGTCGTTACATTGGCGCAGCCCGTTTTTTTTGAGCGTTTTCATTTTTAAAATAAAAAAAGGAGGGTGGAAAGAGGTCGAAATTTGAAGTAGGCGCATCTTCTCCACACTGGGCATTCTTACTGAAACAAGAACTTGAGTGCTTCGGTATTCTTACTGCTTCAGTAGCCGAGAGGCAGATTTGGCTCCTAAGACAAGGAAGCAAGGCCTAAGCAGTTCTCCTCCTAGGGGATATTCAGCTACGCTCAGGCTATCTATATGCTTCCCAGAACTTACCAGTTATGATGAGTTAAGGTCACGCAGACGCGCGAGCAGGAGAGCAATAGCCTTGAGATACCTGAGTCGGTGGCGTCTAGGATACGTGTGGTGATATTGGGGTTGACATAAATGGAGCCGTATATATGAGGCGAGCATATAACGATCCAGTAGAAGTGCACTCCAGGTTTCGAGAGAGCATTTCGTGTTCTCGTGACAGAGAGGAGTGAGAGAAAAGACGCCCTGGGAGACTTCGTTGACATCCAGAGAGCGAGATAAGACTTCGGAGAAAACTGCGCAAAGC